GTTCGTTCGTTCATTCATCGTTTACTTATTTGCTTCTTCACTCATTCATTCTTACATCTATCTATCTATCTGGTCACTCATTCATTCATTAATTTGTGTGAATTTTGTTCACGCATATATACGCAAACACACACAGACAAACACACACACGAACTCACACACACACACACACACAAACAAACACACACAAACGCGTAGTTCTTACGGAGAGGCGGCCTTTATGACATTTCAGCAAATCATAATAATGTATCTAGTAGTGCTCTACGGCCAAAACTTCAGGACAGCCGTCATCTACACCTCGGTCTATGGGGTGGCCCTCGGATACCTCATGTCACCCCAGGTGCCCCTACATCTACTTACCCTCTTACAGGCGTCCGTTGTTGCCCTCATTGTTTTTAGTAGGGTAGGTTTGGGTTGGGTTTTTTCGAGGTGAATGTTGAATTTTTTTTTTCAGCCTAATGGAATTTTAGTTTATCAGATTGGAGAAGTTATGTGCCGTTATTTTAGTAGCTTGTTGAATGAATGAGTGAATGAATGAATGAATGAATGAATGAGTGAATGAATGAATGAGTGAATGAATGAATGAATGAGTAAAAGAATGACTGAATGGATAGAGTAAGTAATTAACATAGCCAATGAACAACACCCAGCTTTCGCAAGCACTGACCAACTACCAAAATTCTGGCACCGGTCAATTATCATTCGTGACGGTTTTCTTACAATTTGCCGGGTCCTCGGTTCGAATCCTCACATCCCTGCACGAGACTGGCGACCCGATGACCATCTTCATGTTCGTGATGTCCAGCTTCACTAACGCCATCCTGTTAGGACAGATAATAAAGTATTGGAATGGGCCAGGAAATAATACTAATGTTGCGGTTGTTGGTTGTGTTGATGGGGCTGCTGATGGCGTGGCCATTGGGGGTGACAGTCATAGTGTGGGGGTCAACAATAACAACAATAAGGGTAAAGGGAAAAAGGTCAATTGAGTCGTTTGGTTGATTGGCTAATTGGTGGGTGTCTTTGAATGGCAACGACCTTCACTGTGATTACGATGATTATGACGATAACAGTGATGACGATGATGTAGTTTATAGTAATGATTTTAAACCTTTTTTGCAATCTCTCTTGTATCAATTCAAGTCGTCGTATCGTTTCTTTCATTCGTTCGTCCGTCGCTCATTCATCCTTTCAGTGAATCTACCCCTCGTTCATTTCTTCAGTCGTTAATTTATTCAATCATTCATTGTCGGGTGTTAACTAATTCTCACGTTAATATTTTCGTTGTCATCACTGTTGTTATTATTATTATTATTGTTATTATTATTATTGTTATTATTATTATTATATATTAGAATAATAGGAACTGGGCAGCTCGAATTCTTTCTTTTTATGTTACTAATCAAAAAATAAAAATTAAATGGTTTTATTTAATACAGATTAGTATAATTATTTAATACAGATTGGTATAATTAGACATACATACATACATACACGTACACACATACATACAAAGCAGATACTCACACATACATACGTACATACAAACAAACAAACACACAGACATAAATACAAATTATTAAAGTGAAAAATATTTGAAAAATGCAAAACGGGTTACTATAGAATCTAAAGGATTTTTCATCGAATTGTGGCGATTGTATGTGTATATGTATGATTGTATGTATGCTTGCATGTATGTATGTGTGTGTTTTTGTGTGTGGTGTACCTGAAAATAACATACAAACAGATCATCATTACTTTATAACAATCTATAAAATATACCAATGAAAATAAAATTGAAATAAACCGTATCTAACTATATGTATTATGATATAAATAACATGACTATGCATATATATATATAATATATATGTAATATATATGTATATGCTAATGTGAAAGAATGGTCTGAATATAAGAGATCTTTTTGTATTATTACTTAATGTTTATTTTTGTGCCAAAAATATACAGTGGGCTCTTGATGATGGTGATGACAGTGAAGATGATGGTGATGATAGTGATGATGATGGTGATGTTGATCCTGATGACTATTTAGCTATTATTGCTTTCTTTTTCTCGAATTATTCAATCCATCACTCCTTCCACTTATTCTTTTCTGTCTGTTTTAGGTCGGCCTCCTCGTTAAGACTATTGTCTTCTAGGAATATTTTCGAATCTCCGCTCACTTTTAAACAATCTACGCATAATAATTCTTCACCCTGACGGCCAAATGAACAGTTGGCGTTGCTGCTGCTGCCGCTGCAGCTGTTGCCACCGAAGATGTTGTGGTTGGTGGCTCTGACGTCACTGCTGTGGTTGGTGGCTCTGACGTCACTGCTGTGGATGTTGTTAGTGTCACTGATTCTATCTGTGAAGGTTTTATTATGCGAGAATTCCAATGAAAATACATTGAAATCCGTGTTTTCGTCGTAAAAACGCTGATGAGGATGATGAAGATGATGATGATGGTGGTGGTGGTGGGGATCAGGCGAGGAATGAGAGAAAAGGCGTGGTCTCGAGCCGTCAATCAAATTTGAACTGGCCAATGAGCTTGAGGGGAAGTTTGAATCGAGCGTTTCTATTGGCTGTTTGTTGTTTGGGTCTTGTTGGTTTCTTGATTTTATTTGTTTGAATCTATACGAATGTGTGAATAGCAACTCCTTCATTCGTCCGTTCATCAACTAATTAATTTATCGATTCATTCATCTATCCATTCATTCATTTACTCATCCATCCAAGCACTCACCTTTTCATTCACCAAACAATTCATCCATCTAAACATCTCTCCATTTGTACATTCGTCTCTCTCTCTCTCTATATATATATATATATATATATATATATATATATATATATATATATATATATATATATATATATATAAATATATCACTCATTCATTTATCAATTCATTCATTCATCAATTCATTCATTCATTCATCAATTCATTCATTCATCAATTCGTTCATTCAACAATTCATTCATTCATCAATTCATTACTTCTTGAAAGCGAGCAGTCCGACAGATAGGACCAGCAAACTTATCATTCCCGAAACACCCGTCACAATCACCGCTACTAAAACTGATCATAATTTTAAAAATAATTACAATTAATAATAATAACAACTATAATTATTATTATTTGGTGTCGTCATCAACAAATCTAACTCACCGGAATTCGATTTAATATTCCGGAATGATGACGATGATGGTGACGACGACGATGATGATGATGATGATGATGATGATGACGACGATGATGATGATGACAGGCTTTCAGACATTTCCTTCCTCTCTACGTCCACAAAATTTTTTGTAGTTTTGAATTTATGATTTTACGTAGCATACGGTTTCATTCATTTATTTAGTTATTTGTTTGATAATTCATTCATTCATTCATTCACTCATTCATTCATTCATTCACTCACCCATTCATTCTTTCATTTATGTATTCAATCGATCAATCCTTCCCACAAACCAACCGGAGCAGTTCCCCTCGTTGTAGCCCACCCACTGGCCACCGACGCACGTGACCACCCAGGTCTGATGACGTAGGAGACACGTGATCTCGGCAGACGAACGATCAGCTGAGTAGTTGACACTCGTCGTTGATTGGTCGGTTTGAATGTCAGGGCAGCCAATCACTGTCGGGAAAGTTTATTTCTTTTGTATACATCGCCTACTTGTTTGCTTTTGTTTGTTTGTTTGCTTATATGTTTGTTTGTATGTTCTTATACACACATGTATGGGTATATATTTATAACAAGTGGAAAAAATAAATACAGAGACATTGCCATCAATATTTAAGCGGAAAATCATTCAAAACAACTAAAAAATAGTATACATATTTAAATGCATATATACAAACATTCATACATACATACACACATACAAACATACATACACACATACATGAATGATAAATGTTTGTTTATATTGAAGCAAAAAACTTGAAAATGCTGATAAACAATGAGCATAAAAACAACGTAGAAAAATGCAGACGCATATACATACAGACACACACACACACACACACACACACTTAAATACATACACATTTACACACACATACACACACGCACATAAAAAACAAACATACACACGTACACAAACAAACATACACACGCACACAAACAAACATACACACGTACACAAACAAACATACACACGCACACAAATAAACATACACACGCACACAAACAAACATACACACGCACACAAACAAACATACACACGCACACAAACAAACATACACACGCACACAAACACGCACGCACAAGTTGTTTCATACAAATATCCATTCACACTGTACATCATGTTGATTGCAGAAATGTGACCCCGTAAATAGGCGGAAGTGGAGAGGAAAAAGAAGAAAAGTGAACTTGGAAGAAAAAGATAAAAATAGGGAAAGATAGAAAGGAAGAAATGGAGACATGGAAAAATGAAACAAGTGAGAGCAAGAAGAAGTGAGAGAGAGAGAGAAACATACAAATAAAATATTGATTTGGACAGAGAGAGAGAGAGAAAGAGAGAGAGAGAGAAAGAGAGAGAGAGAACGAGAACGATAAAGATAAATAATTTGGTATGTAAAAGAGAGACAGAAAGAGAAACAGACAGACAGACAGTGAGAAAGACAGAAAGTTTTGAGAATGTTGAGAACGTAAAATGGCGTTCCTGAGAAGGTGGAATTTCAGAAGATGTAATAATCAAAACAGTCGCAAGACTGACGCAAAATGGCGGATTCAAAATGGCGGATTCAAAATGGCGGATTCAAAATGTCAGTTTCAGAATGACGGATTAAAATGGCGGATTCAAAATGGCAGATTCAAGATGTCAGTTTCAGAATGGCGGATTAAAATGGCGGATTCAAAATGGCAGATTCAAGATGGCGGATTCAAGATGGCGAACTACTAAATCAAACGGAGCATTTTAAATCAGTATGAAAACAATTTTTTCTCTCCCCCATGCAAAGATATGCGTGATGAACGCTCGCGATCTAACACGGATACAAAGGAACAATAATAACAACAACAACAATAATAAATAATAATAATAACAACAAGAATCGATAAACAACAACAAATAAAATCGTCCCATCAGAAGGCGAAACACTAAATATACGAGATGACTATCAAGATACCACATTAATAAGTGTAACAATAATAATAACAATAATAATAATAATAATAATAATAATAATAATAACAATAATAACAATAATAATATTAATAATAATAGTATTAATAATAAAATATTAGAATTATTGTTTTCAGTTTTTCATTCTAAATGCTTTAATGATCTATTGATTAACAAAGCATGAATGAATTTAAGACCTCTCTGCTTGTACAAACATACATACATACAAACAAACAAACAAACATACATACATACATACATACATACACACATACGTACATGCGTTCACGTAGATGATATTGTAATCAGAAACTAAAGAATGTGTGTTTAAATAATCGATTGACGCGTTGTTGATGTTGTTGTTGTTACTGCTTTTGCTGTTGTTGTTGTTTTTGTTGTTGTTGTTGTTGCTATTTGTTGGTCTA